TAGCCCTAGATTTTGTGCCTGAAAAGAGTTACTGCACTCTAGCCTGACATGACTTGTACCCAGTTTAGACACTTGCCAGTTGGTGTTGCAGCCTCACTGGGTTGTTCCTTAACCATTCTGGTTCTTGTACACACCAGTGGAAGGAACAGACCAGAAAGGGAGACCCTAGAGTTCCCCTACCAGGCTTACTGCCAGCCCCTCGTTCTGCATGTGCCAGCAGGTGCTGTGGCCTAATCCAAGATGGCCCACCTCCAGTCTTAACATTTGTTAGCAGGTGCTAGAGTTTGGCTTAGCCTGCCCTGCTCCCAGGCCCCACTCTCTTGCCAGTGAGTGTGGCAGCTTAGCCCAGCCAGGCCCATCCCCAAACCTCTTGTGCACTGGCTGGTGTTGTAGTCCAACTCTGCCTGGAACACACCCCCATCCTGGTTCACACTAATGCCAATGCATGTTATAAACCGACCCTGTCCAACCAGCCCCAAGAACCAATTCTTGAATGTGCCAATGGGTGCTACAGCCCAGCCTAGTCTGATCAAACCCTGAGTTATTTATTTATTTATTTAAATTGGAACGGCAGATAGAGGACATAGAGAAAAAGATTATCCCTCCATTGGTTCACTCCCCACGCGGCTGTAATAGCCAGAGTGGAGCTGATCCAAATCCAGGAGCCAGGAGCTTCTTCTAGGTCTCCTACACAGTTGCAGGGTCCCAAGGCTTTGGGCCATCCTCTACTGATTTCCTAGAGCACAGGCAGGGAACTGGATGGGAAGTGGAGCAGCCAGGATATGAATCAGTGCCCATATAGGAACCTGGCAGATGCAAGCTAAGGCTATTATGCTTGTCCCACCTGCCCCAATTCTTATACCCACCAGCAGGAGCTGTGCCTAGCAGGGGAGTTCCCCAGACTGACCTTCCAGGTCTACTTCCAGCTCTGCATACCACACATGACACTGAGTGCTGCTCCTAGACTGACATGGCCAAGCTCCAGTCATAGCATTCACTAAGTATTGGGTATTGAGGCTTAGTCTGATTGTCCAACACTCATTCTGGCTCTCACCAATGGGTGATATAGACTTGCCCAGCCTAGCCAACCCCCCAGACCTGCCTTTCATGTGACCTAGTGGGTGCTACAGCCTAGTCTGGACTGTCCCACACCATCTGACACTCAGGAGCACCAGCAGGTTCTGAAGCCCAGGCCAGTTTGGCCTGTTCCCAAACCCAGCACACACACATGCTAACAGGTGTTGCAACCTTGCCCAGCCAGTTCAGTTCACCCACAGTCCCAGCTCTTGCACTTACCAGTGGGAGCTGCAGTTCAGCAGGGGAGCCCCCAGGGTTCCACTACATGGCTCTTTTCCAGCCCCAGGTTCTGCACATGCTACCATGTACTTCAAATCACATCATGTCCAGGCTCTCGTGTTTGCATGCAGGTGCCAGGGCCTGGCCCAGCCTAGCCTGTTCTCAGAACCTGGACTACAGAAACACTCACAAATGCTATGGTCTTGCCACAGCCTGGCCCACCCCTAGTTCTGGCTCCCTCATTCCCCAGAGGAAGTTGTGAACTAGCAGGGAAATTCCCTAAGTTCCTCCACCAGACCTACACCCAGCCCTGGAACACATTTGTTAACAGGGACAGTGGCCCTGCTTGACACAATCTGCTCTTAGTCCTGGTGCTTCCATGTGCCCACGAAGCCTTCTCCCAACCCCAGCCCACATTGAGTGTAAGGTGGGTTCCTGTCAGGTGAGTTTCATGGTCCAACCTGGCTCAGCCCATCACCAACCCCAGCTCTCCACATAAATCATCAGGTGCTATAGTCTCCTGGGTAGCCCAGTTTCCCCACAGAATCTGCCCCAATATCCAGTTCTCTCACATTCTGGTGGATGCTGTGTCCAAGTCTGAAGTGGCCCAACCTTTGCTCCAACACTCAGGGGTGGATACTGTAGCCTAGCCCAGCCAGGTATGCTCCCCCACCCCACCCCAGCTTTTGTAAGCACCAGTGGATGGCAGGTAATGCTATTTACTCCAGCCGAGGTCTCCCACATGGGCAGGTATGTGGCCTGACTTAAACATGTCCTTTGGTATCCCCTCTTCCCCCAAATCATCTGTCCATCTGTGAGTGCAGTGGCTTGTGGAAGACCTCCAAAATCAATCCTTCCCAAACATGCATTCAGCTGTTCCCATTCCAATACATCCTCAGACCCCTTCCCCAGGCAATTTGTAACCTCCCACATCCCGATTTGTGGTTTGAGATGGTATTTCATGGCTGGTGGTGACCTGTCATGCTATCTTACTTAGTTAACACAAATTCAGTATTAACCAAACCCAGAATGCCCACCAGCTATGGCCTACTTTTCTCCCAGCAGTTTAACACTTGCCTAGCACAAGGCAGCCTAGGCAGTTGCCTACAGCTGTGGTAAATCTTTATTTCCAAATGTTCATATAAAGACTATGAACTTTCTTATTATTCTAGGTGCATCAGGTTTTAACATATCCATAAAATTTGTTCATTTATGGACTTCACATACTATTTCTCATTAATATGTTCATGCAATATATTAAAAACTTTTCTCAATGCTGAAATGCATTTTCAATCCCTTGACATTTTTCAATTTATGGTTAGGAAACAGGGCAAATGATGTATTGCAGAAAGTCTAGCCAATGCTGAGGACACCTGCATCTCATACAGTGCAAGTTTGAGTCCTATTTACTTTATTTCTAATGCAGCATCCTGTTAATGCCTCCTGGGAAGCAGCAGATGATAGTTGAAATGGCTGAGAATGTGATACACATGAAAAATCGAAATGTAGTTCCAAATTTGTGGCTTTAGGCTGATTTAATTCTGTTGAAGGCATTTGAAGAGTAAACCTTTGAATGGAAGATATTTCTCTCAACATGCACTCCCCCCCTTCACTCACTAAATTAAATTGAAATATGCAGATACTAACATATGGGAAAGCACTAGGTAAAAATATTCACTCATTCATTGACTATAACAGTAAGGTGAGTGTTTTTGAACACCCATATTTCCATATTCTTTTTCCTGTGGATTTGTTTCTTATTAGCATAGTGTTTTTTGTGCTTCTCTGCTAATTGTTCAGCCCTGAAGATGGAAAAAAAAATTTTCTGGGTCGTTTACTTTCCAAAGCAGGAGTGAAACATGTTTCTGTCTCCTAAGAAGAATATAGATTAAGAATAGGATCTCTGAATAGGAACATGCTATGTTTGCACTTCCATGGGGAATGGTTATAGCCACCTGTTAGTTTTTTTTTTTTCTTTTTTTCTTTGTTAAGGAAATGTCCTTTCTCCTTTTACCTAGACAGTTTTTTCCATTTTCCTAAGGGAACCTGTTATCTTCTCTTATTTAGTACAATAGTTTCAATACACCATCAGGGGTATGCTGTCCACAGTTCAGGTTGTGGTTACCCCTTTGGAAAGTGTCTTCCACCTCACTGTGAGGTCAACATTCCTTGTGTTCTCTATCACTTCCTGGTGTACTTGATAACCTGAAGTCTTGAAGGCTGTGGATTTCTCTGTTGGAGGGTCAAATGCCTTCTATTTTTATAGAAGCCTAAGTCTTCTATGTATTTTCTCTTTTATTCTGGAATTACATTGGAAAGAGATAGGATAATACCGTGGCACAGTAAAATTACTGCTTATACCACTGATATTCTACATTGGAGTACTGGTTTGATGCACTTTTAATCCTTTGCTTTAAGCTCTTTGCTCACATATTTGAAAAACCGGTGGGAGATGGCCCAAGTGCATGGGCCTATACCATCCATGTGATAGGGGTTTAAAAGCTTGGCATGGCCCTGGACACTTTGGACATTTAGGGAGTGAGCCAACAAGTGGAAGAATTTTTTTCCCCTTTTGTCTGTCTTTGTCACTCTGCATTTCAAATAAATTTATCTCTGAAAAAGGAAAAAGAAAGCAGATCTTTAAGTACAATCTCTCTCCCAAACAAATGTGAGCTATCCAACATGACTCACTGGTTCATTTCTTGGAAATCAGAATCCACAAAGTATTTTAGTGAGCCCATGGCCATTCATTTCCATATTCTTATTCGAAGTTCCAGTTAACATCATGCTTTCTGATGTCATGAAATAAAAAGTTGCTTACAGACATCACTCACCAGTTTCACGTTTGATTCATGGTTTTACAAAGAAAACAACAGAAGATAGATACACATCCATCATTTTCAGATGCTTTCAAACTTCCCATTTTATTTATTTGCTATTTCATGAGACGGAGTCAAAATGAAATGAGAGATATTGAGAGACAGAAAACTAATGCAGAGAGCTCCCAATCACTGTATTAATCCTCAAATTTATGCAATACCAAGGACAGTATCTAATCAAACCCAGGAGTGAGAACTCAAACTTGGCAAATATAATAGCGCCTGTATGCCAGCCAATTAATAAGCACTGAAAGAATTAACAAATAATTGAAAAAAAATCTTACAGCAGATACAGTAGGAATGTAGAGAGAAGGACAAATTACAGTACCACTGAGTAGTAGACTAAGACAACTGTAGGGCTGGCATCCCATATGGGTGCTGGCTTGAGTCCCAGCTACTCCACTGCTGCTGCTGGCTTTGGATCAGCTTCACTCCAGCCACTGCAGTCATTGTAGCCATTTTGGGAGTGAAACAGCAGATGGAAGGTAACTCTTCTCTCTATAAATCTGCCTTTTAAATAATACTAATAGTAATAATGTCACTTAAAAAAGAATTTGTGAGATGTATCTAATAGAGGAAGTAGCCTTACTGGAACCATAGGATGCTTTTTTACTTTTTCATACATCTAGGAGTAGAAAATTCCAAGAGTAGAGGAAGAGGAAGACAAATATACATATGACAGCTTTCGGGAAATTGTAGAATGTCTGCATCAGCTGCATGACATCACTGTCCTCAGGGCTGAAACTTGGAAAATTTAGAAAGAAGAAATCCAGTGACACTACTGAGCTATGTGTCAGCCTCCCTGCCTAGTGTGTGCTGACTTACCTGAAACTCTCTGGCTTACGGGTTTTGTCACTGTCCATGGCACTGCCCCTTGCTCCAACTTGAAGATCACATCGGGCTTGGTGATACAGTAACCTGTTAATGGGAAATAATACTAGACTGTGAAATCACTAACTTGGGGTTTCCAAAGACAAAAATAGGGTCCCAGGACTGTGAACCAAAGTGCTACTTTTAATTATTTCTGGTGGCTGCAGCCAGGGAACTCAGGCTGGGTCAGGTTTGAGGCATGGGATTCTAGCTCCCACAGATGCCATGCAGTGGACAGATCTTGAGTTAGTCTGGGCTTGAGGCTCGAGAAATTTCTCTGTCCATGGTTGCCATGCTATGGCTGCATCTCGATTGGGTCCCAGCTTCAGACTCAAGATTTTGGCTCAGACCACTGCTGCCATGCTATGGGCAGATCTCATGTAAGTCTGGGATGGAGGCTTGAGTGCTTAGCTCCCCCAGCCACATGGCTGCAGCCAGGGGAACTCAGGATGAGTGGTCCAGGTGCCAATGGTGTCAGGAGAAGCCGTCGAGCCACCCGGCAGTGTACTCTGAGCACTTGCGGGTGTGAGGTTACAGAGATTTGAGGGTGCGGATCAGTATGAACAGAGACCTGAGGGTTCATGTCCAGGTGAGGAATGACTTCAAGATCAACGGCATGTCAGAATTATCACATCAACCTGGCCAGAACCCTTGAAGCATGAGTCACATTGTGATCCTGGATTGATTTCAGGTGGCCAATCCCCATCCTCAGGAATTGGGACTGTTGGGAGGCTGGGTATGGCCTCTCCCTTTCTCTCTCCTATCCCCCGAGAAATTAGAAGAAAAAGAAAAGCTTGGAAACAATGATCACACCCACTTCACCCTAACCCTAGACCCCTCCCACCCTGATCAACTATGTAAACATCATCTAAAGCAATAAAGAGAAAAAAATCTACATAATAATAATTATTCCCTACAGGGCAAATATCTATATTCTTAACAGCCTCAAATGCTAATCCTGGCTAGCACTATATTTTATAAAGTGCCCTTTCATTTGTCAAATAAGAAGAATGTATTCACCTTGAAAATGACAGAATTTCACTTACCCAAGGACAGCAGACTGCTGAAGGTCTCAAGCATGACATCCCTGTACAGGGTCCTCTGAGCATTGTCCATGTCCTGCCATTCCTCCTGGGTGAACTCCACAAACACATCTTCAAATGACACCAACACCTACAACAGGACATTTTGTTTCAGCTCTGGATCATTAAAGTCTGAGTACATTCTGCGTCTATTTATTTCATTTACGTCTTCTACAGATGCAGCTTACTAAGTAATTTAAATGGCAAAATAGAACAAGACCAAAATGAAAATATCTTGTTTTATATTAATTTTATAATCCCAAAACTATAATTTCCCCAATTATTCTGTAACTGATATTTTTGTTTAATGATAATAAAATGAGATCAAAATTCAGCTGTAGACATATGGATAAACATGCGACTGAAATAACATTTTATAACAGGTAAGAGGAGGTGGAGGGAAGGAGCAGGAGACAGGCAGAAAATTGCTCAATATTGGTAAGGATAAGATATTTTTTAAATCTTTTGGATATTTATCTATTTTTATTGGAAAGGCAGATTTACAGAGAAAAGGAGAGACAGAAAGATCCTCCATCCACTTGTTCACTCCTCTTCAAATGGCTGTAACAGCTGGAGTTGAGCTGCTCTGAAGCCAGAAGCCAGGAAACAGGAGCTTCTTCTAGGTCTCCCACGTACGTTCAGGGTCCCGAGGCTTTGGGTCACCCTCCACTGCTTTCCTAGGCCATAAGCGGGCGGACAAGCCAGGACATGAACCAGTGCCCACACAGGTTCCTGGTGCTATAGGCACAGGATTAGCCAATTGAGCCATTGTGCTGGGCCTAATACTTCAAAAATCTTATAATATTAATGAAATTCAACTTTTTCTTATACCAACTTGGAAAAATAAAATACTTAGAAATGTTGTTTAAACTGAATCCGAATAAATGAGTAAACATTCTCTAAAGCTTATACTGAAATTAAATATATCTCATAAATGTTTGTCCTTTGTTTTACTTCTGAGAATGTATAGATTAGAACCGTTCTCTTTTCTGCTTACTTTTCGTGGAATAACAAACTAGAATTTTACTTATTGCTTGGTGACCTATACACTGACTTACTAGGAAAAAGAACCGTAACCTACATCAAAACCACTTTCTTGCAACAAGCAGCTAAGTTCCAGCCAGTCACAGTTTGCCAATTGAGCAAAGAATATGGTAGAGGTGAATATCAAGCTATAATCAAACAAGCTATTTATGTATACATTTTTCCTTGTTGGCACTTTAACAATACCCAGTTATCTGGTATTTTATTTTCCTCTGTATATTGTTATTTATTTTATTTTGAAATATGCAATTTTAAGAGTATAAATACTTCTACATACTCTCATCTTTCCTCCCCAATTCTGTGTGTTTGTTTTTTAATTTTTGTCTTTTTAGTTTAAATTTATTTCAATTTTTTTTTTTTACATAGGTGAGGGGATTTCAGACCCATGCATTTCTCTGGCTGGGATGGGAAGGAAAAGGGGTAGGGGAGGTGAGTGAGGTAAAAGACCTTACTCTCCCCTCCTGTAACCACGGGGTGCAAGGAGGTGGGAGAGCAGCTGTACAGCTCCATGCTGCCAGATCATGTAAGCGCCAGGGTTTTACGATGGTCCCATGCTTTCACCTCAGGGACCCTGATAAAAAGAAGAATGTTCTGTGTGTGCTACTTGAGTAGTCTCAATTGTTCTGAGATAGCATTAATTTCATTATGCCAGATATGAAATGCCAGAGCTGTTTTTTCGAAGACACTGGCTATCCTGTCTTTCATGCGCACCCTAGTATGTTGTCTCTCCTTGTACAAAGTCAACAATGGGATTGGCCCAGTCCCGCAACATGCATTCCAAGGCCAGAGCAGATATACCGGTGCTCCCTGAGGTTAACAACCGAGTAGAGTGGACCAATTGCGTCAAATCCTAAGAGCTCCTACTGGGTTGGGCCCACGATCTTACTCTCCTTTATGTTCTCACAAGTGGCAGTAGGTACTGTAGCTTAGGCCAATACATCCCACCTCAGATTCAGCCATGTGTGTACCAGCAGGTGTTATTATAGCTTTGTTTGGTGTGACCCACAAGAGCCCAACCAGTCCTGCACCCAGACCTAGAACTTTCTTGTACCAACAGGTGTTGTGGTTTAGCTGAGGAGACCCCTTTCCAAGGCCTGCCCCTGACCTTTATCTCACACTCACTGAAAGGTGATAAAAGTTACCCTGGCCTGGTCTGGCCCTAAACCAGACTCCTGTGTGTACTACAGATGCTGTGACTCGGACAAACCCACTGCAGATCTGACTCTTGCATGTACTGGCAAGTGTTGCATTCCAGCTTGGACCACCAGACCTGGCTTTCATGCACACAGGCCAGAACTCTGACCCAGGCCCATACCCAGAGCTGTCTGATGTGCATGCCAGCAGGTACCATACCCTCTTCTGGTTAGCCCCTTGCCCAATTCCAGCACGAATCAATGGGTATTGCAACCTGGCCCAGCCCCCATCTACATCTGGCACTTCCTTGTACTAGTGGTGCTGTGGCTTAGTTGAGGACACCCCTGAAGTCCCTTTCCAGAGCTTCCCCTAGACCTGGCTCTGATGTTCACTGAGAGGAGTTGCAGCCTGGCAATGGCCTGGCTCACCCCAGCCTCAGATTTCAATGTGCACTGGCAGGTGCTGCAGCCTGGCTTTGCCCACCATCACACCTACCACAGCCCAGCTTATCTGGAGCCACAGCCCTCCCATGTGCCTGCAAAAGGTGTAGCCTAATCCAACCTGGTCTACACACAGCCCTGGCTCCCATGGGTGTGGTGACATATGTTACAGCTTGGCCCAGCCTGGACAACCCCAACCCTGACTCTTCTACACTCTGGTTGATGCTGAAGTGCATAAGGGACAGACCCAAAGATCCCCCCTCAGGACTGATCCTGGCCCTAGTTCTCAGATAGGCTGCCAGATGCTGAAGCCCAGCCCTGACACCAGCGGGTGTTTGGCATAGTCAGGGTGACCCTAAAGAGACAATACCAGATACACTCCATAACAGTGCCAGGGCATTAAAACCACCCTGCCCCAGTCTAGTCGAAGCCCTGGAACTAGCATATGCAAACAGGTGGTTTGACCTGATGTAGGAAGGGTTTCCAATTTCCCTCTTATGGTCCACCCTGTCTCAGCTCCCTCAATTAGCTGTGGTACAGTGGCCCAGTCCATGGGAGCCCCCAGAAATCATTTTATACATATATCAAACAAATTCGCAGTGGCCCCCATTCTGAACCACCCGCTCGCCCCTAGTCCCCAGCAGTGCACAGCTCTTGTAACATGCTCATGGAAGCGGTGACAGTGGTGAGGTGCCCCTGCGAGGCTGGCTCCCACATGGGCATGGAGGGCACTCTGCTCACATCTTTAAGGGAAAGAGGAAACAAGCATTTATGCTGGCACACTGATATATTTAACACAGAGTTGACATTAACCAGACTCAGAATGCCCACCAGCCTTTGGCTGATTTTCTCCCAGCACTGTAACACTTGCCTGGTTATAAGGCAACCTAGGTCACTGCCTACAGCTGGGGATGTTTTTTATTTAAAAAAAAAAAAAAAAAAAAACTTTTCTGCGATGCCATGTTTTAAATTTAAACTGCAATTAAGAGCTGAAGTCTCCACACAGTGCAGAGTTCACAAAGAAAAAGGACTGCAGTTCAACAGAAGCATAGGCAAAGACTTAAAAAAAAATAATCAAATGACCCCAGCTATTGGAAATGGCCCAGGTTCCTATGTACCTAGTTAAGCTTTACATCGCTAGAAACAAAACAACCAATAGCTGGAAGGCATTCTGGGCCTGGGTAATGTCAATTCTTACAGAGCAGCATAGTTGCTTATTTTAAAAGATTTGGGGGGTAGAGGCAGAGAGCCCCTCAGCTAGGGCCACTCCACTGCCATCACTGCCATGTAGCACTTGCTGACAAATGTCAGGGCTGAGTTTCAGCATCTGCCAACATGCTGGAGAAGCAGGGCTGGGATTGAGCCTGGTAGTAAATCTTTTGGGATGCCTCTTCCAGGCCACAGCACCCATTGGAGCATACAAAAGCTGGAGCTGGAGGCAAGCCAGCTCTCACTGGCGCTGCTGCGGGAGCAGGCCAGCACGCTAGTCCTCTGCTAGCCAAGAAAAACTGACTGCCATGCCCCCCCATAGGCATCTGGTAATGTCTCTACTACACAGGCATCAGAACACCTATCTTGAGTCCACTGGTTTAGTTGGGAGTGCCCTGGGAAATCTCACCTGGGAAGTCCTCACACTTGATTGATGTGTTCACCAGCTAATGCAGCATCAGGTCTGGACTGTCTCCCAAACCAGACAAAGCATGTATCAGTGGATGCAGCTGTGTAGTCAGTCCCACTCCAGCCCTCTCTCTCATGCAAAATGATGGATGCTGTAGCCTAACCCAGCCCAGACCACTACAGGGCCAGCTCTCACACACAGTGAAGGATGCAGCAATGCAGTTAGGGTGACCCTGAATAAACCCCACCCGTCCCATCCTCAGCCCTGGTTTCCGCACATGGCAGAAAATGCCGTGGCATCACCCAACCCACCCCCCATACCCAAGCCCCAGACTTTATGTGAACCAGTGTGTGCTGCAGCCCGGGCTGGCCCAGCTCACACCCCACCTGCTGCTGCGCATACCAGAAGGTGCTGCATACTAGCCCATCTCAGTCCACCCCCACACCCAGCCAACAAGCATGCTGACAGGTACTGTAGCCTTGTCATCAGGCCCCCTCCTAACTCTGGCTTTGATGCTCACCAATGGGAGCTGCAGCCCTAGTTGAGGAGTCCCCAAGTTCCCCTACCACATCTCAGCTCCCTCAGTTACCAGCAAGTGCTATGGCCTAGTCTGTGGAAGCCCCCAGAAGTCATTCCAAACCCTTCAAACACGTCCTCAGACCTCCTTCTCTTGAGCCATCAGCAGCCTTCCGCGACAATGAGCCACAGCCTGGCAGGTGCCAGTACCAAGGCAGTGTGTACCAAGAGTGTGGCTTTGCCTGATAACCTCTCCTGCTGGGCTGCACGGCTCCATCACTGAAGTATAATCTGTTACATTTGGTGTGAGCTGGCTTTAGGAACTTAGCCAGCATTATTTAGCATAGTTGGAACACTTAAAAAACCATTAAGTTAAAAGGGTAATACAGTTATTTGACATCCTAAATTTAATATGTGTATCAGTTTCTGAATAAAAAGCAATTGCTGTTTTATACTATAAAAATGTGACTGTGGAGGCTGGCGTGTTGGCTCAACTGGCTAATCCTCCACACCCATCCAAGTGCAGGCATACCATAAGGACACCAGTTTGTGTCCCAGCTACTCCAATTGCCATCCAGCTCCCTACATGTGGACTGGAATAGCAGCAGAGGATGCCAGAAAGCCTTGGGACCCTGCAACAACGTGGGACACCTGGAATAAGCTTCTGCTTCCTGGATGCTGGCTTTGGATTGGCTTAGTTCCAACCACTGCAATCATCTGGAGGAGTGAACAAATGGATGGAAGATCTTTGTCTCTCCTTCTCTCTATAAATCACCCTTTCCAATGAAAACAAATAAATAAATCTTTTAAAAAATTATATATACACAGATATATGATTATGAATTTAAGATATTAAGATTACACATAGGAAACAAACTATAACATGGGCAACAAAAGAGGAATATAGAATTCAAACCTTTTGTATTTCCAGATTCTCAAGAGTATAACAGAAGCCAATTTGATGAAAAAATACTTAAGTCATATTGTATACAAGGTTAATTCTGGAAATATGTGATATATTAAAATTTTTTTCTATAACTCAAAATAAAAACATTCAAAAATGGAAAAGGAATTAAAGACATTTCTACAAAGACAACCATTACTTATCAAAAAGTGAACTCAAATGACAAGTGTAATGAGATTATATCTACTGCAATGGCCTTTAAAAAAACAAAAAGTCAACAAAGTTAGAAAAACTAAAACTACTATGAACTACTGGTATAAGTGTAAAATGATAAAATCAATACGGAAAACAGTACTCAAGGAATGCATATAGCATTTTTCTTCTTATTGACAAAGAGGCATTACATGGAAAGACAGGAAGCAACAAAGTATGGCCATGGTCTCCTTATGTCTCTTTTTAAAGCTGTTAGTATTGAATAAACCCAAGGCCAATGCAGTGGCTAAATAGGCTAACATTCTGCCTTACAGCACCAGCATCCCACATGGACACCAGTGTATGTCCAGGCTGCTCCACTTTGGATCCAGCTCCCTGCTTATGGCCTGGGAAGGAAGCAGAGAATGTCTCAAGTACTTGGGTCCCTGCATCCCTACGGGAAATCTGGAAGAAACTCCTGCCACCCAGCTTCAGATCAGTTCAGCTCCAGCCATTGTAGCCATTTGGGGAGTGAATCAGTGGATGGAGGATCTTCTGTCTCTCCTTTTTTCTATAAATCTTTCAAATATAAATAAATAAATCTTAAAGGAATCTAATCAGCCCTGAGAGACCATCTTAATCTCACTTACCCTACTCACCTTCCAAAGACTCCACCTCTAAACACTATCATAAGAATGTTTTGGAGGAGTTAAAGGGGTTAAATACACTGATGCAGCCACGGACCATGCTGGGTGGGCCAACCGGTGCCACCTAGTGGAGGGCGGGGGCATTGGGCCAGAACACACTACCTTGGTCCCAGTTATGCCAAGCCACAGGGCATGGAGGACTGCAAATTACCCAGGGAGGAGGACCTGGAACATACTGGAATAGGGGCCACTAAAGGCTTCTCATGTGTGGAATGACTTCTGTGGGCTTCTATGGACCAGGCCACTACATTTTCAGGTAAGCAAAAAAGCTGAGATGCAGTGGTTTAAGAAAAGAAATCCAAATGGCATATCTGGGTCAGGAAAAAGGTTCATGTCCATGTGGGATACTTGAGCTGGACTTGATAGCATCACCCATTTCCTGCAGGCTCCTGTAAAAGCTGGTGCTGAAGGGCATGCCTAGCAACGAGGCTACAGTACTCACCCACATGTGTTGGTGGAAGAGGTGGGCCACCTCATGCTGGGCCGCAGCATCCACCAACATGCAAGAGAAGTGGCACTGGGAGTAGATTCTGTGGGGTATTTTTGGGCTTGCATGCTAGCTGGGTTTGGGTGTGGGCTGTGGTAGGCCAGGCCACTGCATTTGCTGATGCATGCAAGTTCCAGAAAAACTGTAGTCTGGTTGGGCTTTTCTGCAGCATCCATTGATAAGTAAACTAGGACATAGTCCAAGTAGTGTGAGACTGGAATACAGCAATCCCTAGAAAGTATAGGATCCAGGACTGGGAGTGCGCCTGGTAGGGAAACTACGGACACTCCTTTGCTGGTCTGCAGCTCCCACTGGTGTGCATGAGACCCAGGGCTAGGGGCAGACTACGCTGGAAAAAGCAGCAGCACTTGTCAACATACATGTGGACTAGGTCATGGGGTGGGTTGGGCTAAGCTAAACTACAACATGCCTAGGCATATATGAGAGTCCAGTTGGAATGTGACACAGATTGGGCATGTCTGCTGCACATACTGGCATTTGCAGCTACTGGGGCTGAAGGAGGGCCTGGTGGGTGTTATTGGGGGTCACTCCGAGTAGGCTGCAGTTCCCACTTGTACGTTTAAGGGCCAGAGCTGTGCCTGGGTGTGCCACAGCACCTGTCAATTTACACAGGATGTGGAGTTGGGGACAAAACTAACCATGCAACTACAATCGCCAGTGTATGCATAATCTGATGCAGGTGATGGACTGAACTGGACCCTGCACTGGCTGGTACATGCAACAGTCAGGTTTGGGAGCATCCCAGGTGAGGTTTCTTGAGGGTCTCCCCAACTGGAACACTAGACTCAAGAGTGTGGCCATATGGAAGATCAAAGGATTAGGGATCTGCCTCTGGAATGCATGTGTCAGGACTGGGTCTTCTCAACTGCTGCTGCCTATGCAATGGATGGCATGCCCAAGTGTATATGACAGACAAGTTCAAGCTCATTTAGGCCTGCAGAGGATGTCGAGCACCAAGTCAGAAGATGCAGAACAGAACGGGTTGGACAGCTCTGCTGACTGAGCTTTGGCAATAAGTGTCTGGGTCAGTAGATGCACTGGGGTGAACTCTGTCAGCCAATGGACTTTGGAAGGATTTTCTCAACCTTGGAGTAATAAACCCAACAGCATCTCAAACTATCAAAACCATTCAAGCAATCCCTCGGAATGTTCTCCACATCAGAGTTTCTAAAACAACATCAGACGGACATCCCCCATCCCTAGGCAGTGATGTGGCTTGGCATCTGGGAGTGGCCTCTTCCACCACCATTCCTCCCCAAACCCCAGATACCGGAAAAAAAGGAAAGAAAAGAAAAATTGGAAGCATTTGGGCCTGGCATGATGGCCCAGTAGCTAAATCCCTGCCTTGCATGAGCCAGCGGGTCCCAAATGAGTGTCAGTCCGTGGCTTGGCTGCTCCACTTTCAATCCAGCTCCCTGCTTGTGGCCTGGGAAAGTGGTAGGAGATGGCCCAAAGTCTTTGGACCTTGCACCCATGTGGGAAACCAGAAGAAGTTTCTGGCTCCTGGTTTCAGATCAGCTAAGCTCTGGCCATTCTGGTCACTTGAGAAGTAAACCAGTGGATGGAAGATTTTTTGTCTCTGCTTTTCTCTGCAAATCTTTCTTTGCTTTTTTAAAGATTTGTTTATTTTTATTCAAAAGTCAGATTTACAGCGAGAACAGAGAAAGATCTTTTGTCTGCTGGCTCACGCCCCAAGTGGACACAATGGCTGGAGCTGAGCTGATCTGAAGCCAGGAGCCAGGAGCTTCCTCTCAGTCTCCCCCATGGGTACAAAGTCCTGAGACTTTAGGTTATCCTCTACTGCTTTCCCAAGCCATAAACAAGGAGTTAGGTGGGATGTCGATTCGCTGGAACATGAACTGACACCCATCTAGGATCCCAGCACATGCAAGGCAAGGGTTTAGCCACTAAGCCTTCAATAATGTTTGACAACTCTAATATCTTATAGTCATGACAATTTGGCCTTATTTATCACATACTTTTTTTCCATTTTAATTAAAAAACAAAAAACCTGGGAACTGGCATGGTAGCCAAGTGGCTAAAGTCCTCACCTTACATGTATCAAAAACCCATATGGGCCTCACTTCCCATCCAGCTCCCTGCTCGTGGCCTGGAAAAGCAGTTGAGGATGGCCCAAGGCCTTGGAACCCTGGAAGAATTCCCTGGCTCCTGGTTTCAGATTGGCTCAGCTCCCATCATTGTGGCCATTTGTCAGGCAAACCAGCAGACGGAAGATCTTTTTTTTTTTTTTAAGATTTATTTTTTTATTATTTTTTTATTGGAAAGGCAGATATACAGAGAGGAGAGACAGAGAGGAAGATCTTCCGTCCGATGATTCACTCCACAAGTGAGCCGCAACGGCCAATGCTATGCCGATCCGAAGCCAGGAGCCTCTTCTGGGTCTCCCATGTGGGTGCAGGGTCCAAAAGCTTTGGGCCGTCCTCGACTGCTTTCCCAGGCCACAGGCAGGGAGCTGGAAGGGAAGCGGGGCTGCCGGGATAGAACCGGCGCCCATATGGTATCCCGGGCGTGCAAGGCAAGGACCTTTAACCACTGCGCCACTGCGCCACTGTGCCAATGCGCCACTGTGCCACTGCGCCGGGCCCCAGACGGAAGATCTTTACCTCTGTCTCTCCTCTCTAGGTAAAATCTATCTCTCCAATAAAAAAAAAATATCTCATAAAGCTCCTACAATATAAAACAAGCTTTAGAAGGTTGCTCATTTACTTACTGAAGGTGTGTCCATCTTCTCTGGCCTTGGGAGCATGAAGTGGGCTCCAGGGCTATGCCTGGAAGAGACGGTAAATGAAAGGAGTTATGAGAGAACTGATCTGGCTTACCCCTAGTCTCTAATGTGTTAGGCAATTCCATCACATAAATGGATGCAAAATACCACACACATTTACTGGAAACAAAACAAAACAAAAAAACACAATTAGCTTCCCTTTACAGCAAGGGCCAGGAAAATACACTTGAAAAAAATACCAAAACTCTCACTAATCTTCAGTGATTGCATTCAGTTAGGTCAATGGAAACAATTACTGGCTACTGATTTTATAAATAATAATGTGATTACCAAGAAATAACTTATTTCAGACTGTTGCTCAAATTGCAATATACCATAGAAAGAAACACCTTGCCATCATTAAAATCTATGCGAAGAAGAATACTTGGGTAGGATTGGCTATTTCACTAATCTATAGCACTGCAGAGGACTCCAAATTAGGACTTTTTTTTTAAAGATTTATTTATTTTTATTACAAAGTCAGATATACAGAGAGGATGAGAGACAGAGAGGAAGATCTTCTGTCCGATGATTCACTCCCCAAGTGAGTGCAACGGCTGGTGCTGTGCCGATCCGAAGCCAGGAGCTCTTCCGGGTCTCCCACATGGGTGCAGGGTCCCAAAGCTTTGGGCCGTCCTCGACTGCTTTCCCAGGCCACAAGCAGGGAGCTGGATGGAAACCGGCGCCCATATGGGATCCCAGGGAGTTCAAGGCGAGGACTTTAGCCACTACACCACCATGCCGGGCCCAAATTGGGACTTTCAATAGGACATCTCTTGCAGGTTGATACAATGGATCAACTGGTGAATCCTCCACCTTGTAGCGCCAGCTGCTCATATGGACACTGGTTCTTAACATAGCAACTTTGCTTCCCATCCAGCTAGTTCCCTGTTTATGGCCTGGGAAGGAACAAAAGATGGCCCAAAGCCTTGGGACCCTGCACCCATGTGGGAAACCAAGAAAAAGTTCCCAGCTCCTAACCTCAGATGGGCTCAGCTCTGGTCACTGCAGCCATTTGGAGAGTGAACCAGCAGATGGGAAAATGTTTTTCTCTGTCTCTTCTCTCTGTAAATCTGTCTTTCCAATAAAAGAATAAATAAATCTAAAAAAAAAAAAAAAAAAAAAAAAAAAATCTTGCTGCTTTACACTAAAAATTCTAAAGAAAGTAGGCTTCTTGGAGTGGGAGTATTTTTGCTCATAGCTATATAGGAAAAAATGAATACATAATTCTTATGCTACATGTTTCCAGTAATTTTGTCTAAAACTGTACCTTGCAGTTCTCAAGATTTCAATATAGTCCTTCCCCACAATGATCCTTCATGTTGCAGTTTTATTTTTAGCCCATGAGACATCTATAAATAAAACAGCAACATAGTTTTAAAAGTATTTACAATAGTATTTGGATTTCCCTCATTGAACAGCTACATTATAAGGAAGCCGGGGACTTTTCCTGTTGGAGGTGCAGAGCCTAGACGATAGCCAGAGCAAACCATCAGACTTGGGAGGGTTGAATGCTGGATGCAACAGGTTACGCTGCTGCTTGGGACACTCTATCATATCCCACACTTACATGGCTGGTTAGTATCCTGGCTAGTTAGCACTTCCAGTATAACATCATGCTAATAAGCCTGGGACAAAGTGGTGGACGGATAAGCACTTGGGTTCCTACCTTACCTCTGGGAGGTTTAAATGGATTCGTGCCTCCTGGTGTCAGTCAGCATGGCACAGCCCTGACTCTTAGGGACATTTGAGGGAGAATCAACTAGCAGAAAATCCCTGTCCCCTCTAGATTTTCTGCCCTTCCAATAAGTATCTTTTTTTTTTAATAAAAAGAAGTAAAAACAAATTAAAAAGCTGTATTTAAAACTACATATTTTCAGGTTAATTTGTTGGACATCAAATGCAGATATAATTTGGTGAATGGGAAAGAATTTAATTACCTTCTAGACTCAAGCATGATTCATGCCAACCACATCAGCAAAGATTGTCCCACACAAATTGGAAAAAAAAAAAAGAGCATAATACTGAAGTTGTTACAGGTTTGGGGCACTTATATCTAACAATATAATAAGTAATAATGTGATTTATACATCTTAAATACATGAAAATAGGCTCATGCTAAATTTCTACAGCACTTAGGATTATCAATAATGGATAATTTGCATTAAGTGAGAAAATTTGCATTATCTACCTATTGAACTCACACAACGTAGACAAAATCTGGGAGGGAAAAAAGAGAGTCATATTCAAGGAAATGCTTCCCTAAAACACTGGTATTTTTTTCCCTTGTATAGACTTCATCTTCTAAAGGAGATTTTAAAATTAAAAATTAGTCTAATTTATCTCTTGGTAGCATGAAAAATAGTATTCAAAGTGCTTTGATACTTTATCATCTGATATTTTTCAACAGAACTATCTCCCCAAATGCACTTTTTGGGATACTTTTTTTGGTACAAAACTCCTGACAAAAACTACTGAGCTATCCAGACAGAACTGTCAGGGAGCATTAGCATTCACTCCAAATACTAAACGTGCTGACAGATAACGTTTCAGACAGCTCCAATTCTGGGAATAACATGGGCAGAACAAAGGAATGGAAATGTTCTAGACACTGAGGCAGATTCTCAGACATGAAAGGTCACCTCTCCACTGAGGGACACATCAAGAACCTTTTAGTAATATTTCTAACTCCTTGTCTATCCTCCTAAAGACTCAAATCTCCTCAGTATTCACACAAAATAACACTACCCAGTCATCGTAAGCTTACAGATGTGGTAATACAGCGTGACTGGCAGTGCAATGAGTCCTCACCACTTTAGGTCACCTTCGCCTCAAGCATGAAGCACTGGAGAGGGTTTGGTCAGTGGGGCTTTCTTTCAAGTAGATTCTGATTGATGGCACACTCTACTTCATTCAGCAGAAACTACTGTGTTAGGAGGGAAATAGGATATTTTTTTCTGGCATGAACACCATGCTTTTGTGCTGGCATGAGCAGGTTCATGGGGTCCTGGCAGCTGGCACCGATGCATGCATGAGGTTCTTGGAGGCTCAGAGCCAAGCCAAGGAAGCAAGCCTGGGGATTCATGCATATGCTTGATCCTGTGTAGGTAGGTGGGGGAGGCGGAGTGGAGAGAAAGGGAGGGTATTAGGCTGGCATGCTGATATGGCGTAGGAAACTGTGAATGTGCTTGGGTCTCAGGTAGGCAGATGGGTAAGGTCCTAGGCCAGCACACATGCCAGACAACTGGGTCTAGGGAACTGGGCATAAGCTTGGGTCCTGGGTGGGCCGGCAGGGCTCCCCGCCAGCAAACCACCTAGCCAGAAGGCTGAGCTGGGGAAACCAGGTGCTTAGGAGCTCAGGGACTGTGAATTGCTCACAGAAGGAGTCATGGGATGCAAGGGAGGGGGAGACTGCTGAGGGAGTACTTTGCAGGTGAGGAATGACTTCTGGGAGAAGGACTTCTACTGTCAAGGCCACTGTACTTGCAGCTAAGCAAGGGGACTGAGACAGAGCAGTTTGGAGGAGAAAAACTGGAGGAACTTTCTGGGTCAAACCAACACACCTGTCCACAAGGGAGTCCTGAGTTGGGCTAGTTAGGATCAATCACTGCTGCCCACCAGCCACCAGTGAACATGAGGACTAGGGCTGGGGGCCTAACTGGCAGATCTAGTGTCAGAAGAGGGGTTGGGTCACATTAGGCTCAGCCATGACACTAACCAGCATTAGAGAGAACCGGGTCTGGGGCAGAATCTGTGAGAGACAATGTGGGCTCAGCCTTGCAGGACTACAATATCTGCTGGTTTGCTCAAGAGCTGAGGGTGGTGACTAGCCAAGCTAGGAATGACCAGGGAACCCATCAAAACACATAGGTACTGGGGTTGGGAACACACCAGGCTGGTCCAGACTGTAGCACCCACAAGTGCACCCATGAAGTGGGTGTGGGGCAGTACAGGCTGCAACATCTACCAACAGCCACAAAGGCTGGGACTGGGGTCAGAACTATACCACAAAAGCCAAGACTTGGGGGTAGGGAAGAGGGTGGTGAACTACGTCAGGTAAGAGCCTAACACCCACTGGCATACATGAGATCTGGTTCTGGGGGGAGGTTTGTTTGGGGAACTTGAAGAACTCTGCTTGTGGGCTGTAGCTCCTGCTGGTGAGCACAAAAGTTAGGGTTGGATGTTGATCAGGCCAGGCAAGGCTACTCCTCCTGTTGCCAGAGTGTGGGTTGGCTCTGGAGGGGGTGCATCATGCAGGACCAGGCAAACTTTAGCACACTGGCATACACAGGAGCCAGAATGGTGGTGGGCTCTGCCAGGATAGGCTAGGCTGGGCTATCATATGTACCAGTATGCATGAAAGCCAGGGATGGGAGAAGGATGGGCAGGACTAGGCTGCAGCACCCACCAGTGAGAGTTGGGGCAGGTGGTGGGTCACGTCAGGTCAGGTTGCAGCATCCAATGGCAAAGGCCAAGTCCAAGCATGGGTCTTGCCAGGATGGCTCAGAGCTACTACTGGCATGTAGGGGTGTGTGGCTGAGAGCAGTCCTGATCATGGGGCTAAAGGGATACCCCAACTAGGTTGCAATTCACATTGGTGTGCATGAGAGTGAGAATACAGGCAGTGAATTGGGCCAGACATAGCTTGTCCATGTCCCTTGGCACAGGTGTGAACTGCATTTGGAATGTGTCATAACGGCTAGCCTCCAACATCTATTGGTGTTCATGAGAGCCAAAAGGATTGTAAGATAGTTAGGGCTAGGTTCTGGTACCTGCTGAGCCATGTGAAAGCTGAGTCTAGGGGTGGACTAGGCATGGCTGGGCTGTAGTATTCAACGGCAAGAGCCAGAATGGGTTGGGCAGGTCAGTCTAGGCTGCTGTTCGTACTGGGACAGGAGATGGGCCAAGTCGGTTTGGGCCAAAAATTCACCAGTGGGTATGAGATTTACAACTGGGAGGAGACCGGACAGAGCAGTTGGGAAAATCCTCTATCAGCATACAGTC